CAAACCTTCCATTCGAAAAAATGTTACCATGAGAAACTTTCTCCAACTCCTTGCGTAAAAAATACCACCGAAACCGTTCGCGGCACTTTTATCCGAGATTCGACAACATGAGCCTTGGAGACGACGCGACGTCCCGAAATAGTTGCGACAAGATGTTTGTTTTATTTCCTTGCTCGCAGCCCACTTTTCTCGGCCGTGTTTCGGTTTGTTTTGTTAGGAGCTCGGCCGGCCCTAAACGTCCCTTCCGCTTCCTTACTCCCCGTGGCCCCTCCCTCCCACGGCGCCGCCCGGCTGAAATTGATTGATCCCCTGAAGGAAGAACGCGGAAGCGTCCTGGTGAGTGGTCACAATCCGCACCCTGCAGTGCCACTATTAGCGTCGTCGCGAAGATTTGGGTCGGTGTGCGGGTCAACGAGGTGTTCTACAAATAAGCAGCGTATTTTACTCAGATAGAAAAACCACCGAAGAAAAATCGAGTTACAGGATAGTTTTAGTATGTGAGGAACTTCCTGACCAAATTATGTACCTCTATTGCTAACATTGCTAGAATTGTGCATCAATTCAACTTTTTATTAAAGCCCTGGTAAAAATTGGGAGTAGAATCTGTTTTCCAAAATACCATAGACCTACAGCCGGCTGTAAGATTTCCAACAGCTTCTATAGCCGGCAACACAATTTCTTATAGCCTTTTATAGCCGATGGCGATTAAGCAACAGCCAGGCGATAAAGTGTATGCTAAATGTTACGAATTACGGATGCTAGGACTTACTGAGTTTTTGGACTACCGCTTCTTTTTGGGCCATAGTATCTTGATTTATTTTGCGAGGAAAGCTCCATACTTTTGATGGATGCCTGCCATTCCTACTACATTAGAGCGTCTTCAGTTTCGTATGATACTGTGCAATACCTCTAGTATGAAATAGTTGCTTCAAGCGCCGTGGCACGCTGCGGTGCGGCGGGCGGGCAGCCAGCGCGAAACGCGCATTGGCGCCCACAAACCTAACAGGGATACTTCACGCGTTGCGCAATGCGTGAAGTATCCCTGTTAGGTTTGTAGGCGCCAGTGCGTCGCCGCTCCGCTTTGCGTCAGGCTCTAATATTTAATCTGGCGGAGTCAGCGTTACTCAACACATGATTTTGAAATGTTTGCTCATCCTGTATGGATTATTCTCGTTTTAATTGATGGAAAAACATATACGTATTAAAGGAAAATATAACATGTGTTTTGTAAATATTAAGATGGTTCTGTATCAAACTTAATGATTTCCAAAGCACACGAATTTCTACACAATTTCTTATAGCCTTTTATAGCCGATGGCGAAAAAGCAACAGCCAGACGATAAAGTGTAAAGTCCGGCGATAGGAACTATAGCCCGGCTGTATAATTTTTTATCGCTTCGTGTAGCCCGGCCGTATGATTTTTTCCACTTTCTACAGCCAGCTTTATGATTTTCTATCGCCCTCCTCAGTCGGCTATAAGAACTCCTATGGTATTTTGAAACGCAGCTCCTTTCGCCAATTTTTACCAGGGAGCTGTAAACTCTGTTCTGAAATTTTCCTCTAAGTTTCTTTCTGTCATTCTGAATATTTTGGCAGAGAAATGTATCATATAGGTGATTTTGGATAAAAAAAGGATGTAAAAGAAGGACGAATTGCACATGTTCTAGCGACGTTAACATGAGTATAAACTGTTTGGTTGGAAAGGTCCTCATACGTAAGTTTTGTCATGTTTTCACATAATAAAGCATTTGCATGCAATTTTTTTTTGCTTCATCTAAAAGTGCTCAAAGAGCTCATTTCACAGCCTTTTTAATACTTTTTTTTTCGATTTGGGAAAAAGTGCAAAAATATAGCTTTAAAAGTGAAAAAATACACCGCCTAGTGACGTCATCTGGCGGCATTCCCCATTTAAACACACGTATTTTAGCAGATTAGATCATTTTGTCATATCTTCTCCGAAAATTGTTCAATTCATAAAACAAGGGTATCCTCATGCTCAGTTCACTCAGTAGTTTCCACTTAAACACGAAATTCATCAAATTTCAGACACCTGCAAATTCTCTATTCTAGCTTGCGCAACAAGTCCATCGTGGCATTGGGTTTTCCAACAATTAGAACAGTTAAGCATACTCTTGAAAAATAGCCCAAGATTTTAATAAATCAAGAATATAAACGAAATTGGTCAAAACAACATACGGGTGTTGTAAAATCAGAAGCAGGATCACCAGCTTTGCATTTATTCATTTAATTATCGAAATTGTAGAATTTTGAATGACTGAAGTTGCTCGAGGCACCTCTTAAAATAAATGTATACTAATCTACTTTATACTATTTATTCAGTATATTGTTTCATTTTTTAATTCTAATACATTGCAATAATCTGGCACACATTAATCGAATGAGATTACTCATGATTGATCAGTCAGATTATGCTAATATATTAACTAGATCGACATGTTGATTGCCCACATGAAAAAGGAAGGCACCTCGGTCATTCACACGAAAGCCCTCTACAAACAACTTAATCCAGAGAAAAATTAAAAACACGAAAGACTAAAAGTAAAAATTTAATTAAAAACCGAACAAAAAAGTAGGTAACTTCAACCATCGTGGTAAGCTTCGTATCAAACTATGATCCTTACCCAAACTAAAATGATTAACCAAATAATGAAACATCGTTAGACGTGACTTCCAGGTGTTTTTCTCCTCAAAAAATTTTACTCGTTCATTTGCCAGCTGAAATGTGTATTCTTCTCCTATTCTAACACTAAGATATACAAAGCAACACTAGAAAAAAAAAAAAAAAAAAAAAAAAAAAAAAAAAAAAAAAAAAAAAAAAAAAAAACACATTGGATCTAAAGTCCGGACTCTTAAAAACATCGACAAGAAAAATCACTCTTGATTCAATCAGATTTCAGCTTGAATTAAGAACCAAGCCTCTTAATTTGAGCGGATTTTCTTTTGATTCAAGCTTAAATCTGATTGAATCAAGAGTCCATTTTCTTGTCAATGTTTTCAAGAGTCTGGACTGTAGATCCAATGTAAACAATATGTATATGAAGCGTGGCTCTCTCAGGTTGACCTCTTACCCGCTGGGATCAAAATCCCCTGCCAATCACACGGAACAACCTCACGACTTGGCAGTTCGGTGGGATTTTTTTCGCGAGCGCGTCAATTACACTGTCGAACCCTGTCCCGGGCCCGGGCCCGGTGTAAATTCTCACCGGAATCGGCGTGCGGGTTCGATAATGAAAGAACCCGCGGAAATCCCTCGCGACCCATTTCCCGGACGACTCGGGAGACATGAGCCCTCTCCGCATAATAATGAGCTATTAAAAGTTGGATCACTGGCAATGATCCCCCGTTCCCCTTCGCGGGAGCTCCGTTGTGCGGCGACGTGGTACGTTGAACTGGTATCGCGAAGCAATCAGGGAAATTACAAGTGTCGAAAGGGCTTTATCGCCCGGGCGGGCAACTTCGTCGCGCGAATAACTTCGGCGAGGTTTAACTGCTGGGCGTCATTTGAACGTGAAGTTCCGTCCCCGGGAAAAATTTCGGTTTGATCTCGAGGAGCCACGTTCCCGTTCCGATGTGATCGGATTTGTCGCGCGAGACCTTGTATTTCGGATGAAGTTTTTAGGGGGGGGGGGGGAGTTTTCTTCAGCGAATTGGCTTTATAATCCGTCGCTCGGCTGACAAAAAGACGTACACGGAGAAAAAAAACTTCGTGCGTGAGACCCAAAGTTTAGGTCATATGGCTCTCTGAAGTTTTCAGATTGAGCATCTGAACACTTAAGGTCCAGCTGCTGAGGTTTAGATTACACATCTGAAACTTCAGTTCTTACATCTGAGGTAATTCGGTTTTCACATCCGAATTACTTCGGTTCTTCCATCTGAAGTACTTCAGATGTGTGATCTGAACCTCGACAGCCAGACCTAAAGTGTTCAGATGCTCAATCTGAAAACTTCAGAGATCCAAATGACCTAAACTTCGGGTCCCACGCACGAGGTTTTTTTTCTCCGTGTAACTGTAGGATATGAGCCCGGGGAAGTATACAGGGGTGCAGAAAGCTCTTGGCCTGCCCATTTTAAAAACCCCTCTTTTCCGGAACTCTAAACAAGCTGACATCTCCGGCCCTCGGGTGCCGGATGAGGAAGCGATTCAATGTTCCCTCGAATAGTTTATCTATTAAATTTAATCGACCGGAGGCGAGTTGAAATATGGCAATGCCGTGAGAGCAAAAATTAATACGTCTTAAACTATCTGAGTTCTTTTTAGTTTTTCATAACCTCACAATCGAGTACTCGATTAATCGACGTATAAAACTTTGAACGCGCATAAAAACTGTTTCCTCGTCAATCCCACAAAAGTTAAATGAGATGCGCTTGAAATGAGATCGAATTTTGGAAAATTGCTCATACGAACTGTTTTTTTGTCCAGAAGTATTTCAACAGAAACGGATCATTTGAAATATGTGATGGATCGGGATATTTTTTAATGAAAGGGAGAGCACAAGAACTAAAACCTCACTAAAAATCAACGTAAATTATTAAAATCGAATCAAAGTGCATTATTTACTTCAATCTTTTTATGACGGACTTTAATTCATTAATATTATTAACCTCGAATGCTGTCACTCATAGCATGTAAGCGTCAAGAATGAAGCCCCCACTCCGATTTTATATCACGTTCTATATTACAGTGGTGTTTTTTTAAAATTGCAAATTCCAGTCATTCAGACGGGGATCTTCATCAATTTTCACGCTGTGACGATCAGAACCAAGAAAAGAAAGAGTTATATTTCGCTCCTCAATATTATAGGATTACTGTAATGTACTTATTGATTTTACGAGTTAAAGGTTCGATCTTTTTAAAGTTTCGATCATGAATTCCATCTATTAAAAATGTATTTTCATTCCGACGGATAAAGTGGCATCTCTATTGTCATGTATCCACCTCCAGTGCCTATCGCATGCATAGAGGGAAGAATATATAGGTATAACGCAATGATGATCAGTACTGAAGAGTTAATTTGATGCATTTTTTGTTTTGTTGTTTTGTTTTCAGGTTAGTTATATACCGCAAATCAATACCATGCCTAGTGTCGAATGAAAATCAAAGCAGTGACGTACTGACGTACAAAAATTTGGTAAGTTAAAAAGTAAGCTAATGATAAATGCTTTAAGCACCGATAGTAAAATCCCTCGTTCTGTGTTGGCCGATGGCTCTCTTCAATGATTTTTCCACCTATATCAGGTTGGAAAGCTTCTTCTAAAAGAGGCATACTGTTTTTTATATTCTCATCTACCTGCATTCATATTTATCAAGCTACAATGCAAAACTTCTATTTTTTATATATCGACGGTGAAACTACCAAACCACGTATCTCGGTTTGCGACGTCGCAGACTTCCTGTCATACTTTATTTCTTAAATGAAAAACTACTTAACGTCTAGTCTTGAAAATTTCTGAGATTTTTCCTCTTTGTGCGGAGAAAATTCTGTGAAAATTTCAAGGAATGATATTGATTTGGTCGACTTTAAGAAAATAAAATGCGAGCGTAGATTTTTAAACACCGCAAACGAGATACGTGGTTTGGTAGTTTCACCGTCGATATATGATCATAAGAGCAACGCGTAACATACAACGCCTGAGGCACGAAGCGCTGGGAGGAGAGGGTCGAACTGCGAAGCAGTCAGGGGGAGTGCCCCCTAGACTACGTTAAAACTCTACACAGTTCTCCCCAGTGTTTATGAAAAAATTGGCAGAAAATATTTATATTAAGCACATACAGCTGCATGCTGCAAATCTTGCAAAAAATTTAAATTGATGTTGGTGAGTGCTTTCACTCCCTAATTTAGAATAGAGGCAAATTAGCAACGAAAATGTGAGCCCGATTTGCGTCAGCTATTAAAGATCATTACAGTCGTATAAACGTTTTTCACCGCATTCATTTAAGTGCGGTTTATAGTACGGTGGGTACGATTGAATAATGGCCAAAACCCTGCACTTTTTGATTGGAAATTGCCGCTTTCAGGGATCATTCTTATGGTCATAAGAAGCCCTTTTAGAAGGGGAAGCACTCTGGGGTCCGTGCAGGAACCAAGATGGCGGCCGTTAAAGATGGCCGCCGAGCGTTTTTTCAGCGCGCTATATCTCGGAAACTACGTGTCCGATTTTCGTTTTCTTGGTCTCGTTTTGAAGCTAAAATGCTTCTCCAGAAGTCTATCTCATAAATTTTTTCGCCTAAGGCACACATAAATGGTCATTAGGAAAATTTTGAAATTTTGAAATTTCACCCGATTTTCAAGAGCGTATAATTATTTAACACGCGAGAAAATGGCGTTTTTGCCTTAAGTAACGGCGATGGGAAATTATCTGACGTTTAATTTGACACCAAAACAATTTTTTTGCGTCAAAAAATGCACCCGCTAGAGCAATTTAAGTGAGCGTCGCGGTACGGGGTGCGCGGTGAAAACGGCGGAATACGGGCAATTAACGCGCTACGCAAGTCATACGCGCGCTATATCTCGGCACATTCTCGTCCGATTTTCATCATTTTGGGCTTGTTTAGAAGCTATGTTGAAAGTCAACGAGTGTTACGGATATACTTGCGTTTTTCCTCCGACTTTTCCGGGTATTTTCCAAATGAATAGAAAATGTTCAAATTGCCAAAATTTACAACGACGAATAATTTTCAATAGGGTGGAGAAACAAACCTCCTCTCGTGTTTTGTAGAAAGATCATTTTCTGACGTTTAAAATGATACCACAACCATTTTTGTGCGATGATAAATAAATCCATGAGCTCAATTTGAAGCGCACCCCCGTGGCAAGCAATTTCCGTTGGTAGGCGTTTTGACCCGATTCGTCGCCGCGCCGCGCCTTATGCAGCCTAAGTGGACGCGACTTTGCCTGACTTCCCGGATTCTAAGACAGATTCTT